GGAAAAAAGAGGAACAAATGTAATAATCTGAACAATAAAGATTTAATTTAAAATAAATAAATAAAACTCAAAAAAAAAAGTCACTGGTTCGATTCCTGGTTCGGATATATGACAGCTAGCGGGCTCGATCCCCAGTGGGGGGTGGGAGAGCATGCAGGAGGCAGCCTGAGAAGATAGATGTTTATATCTCTCTATTCCTCTCTCTTTCTCTCTCTGTAAAATTATGTTAGAAAAAGAAGAAGAAGAAGAAATTTGGCCACCAGGTGGCCTTTAGATGTGTGTACTGCAACATCAGCTCTTCCCTGGGTCTTCAAGTCAGAGTCATGAAAAATGTTAATTAATTAAGGAAGAGGGGGTCTGCTCTACATACAAAGGGAGAGGTAAGAGCTCCAATAACTGCATCCCATGTGTTTTTCTTTTTTTAAATATATTTTTATTGATTTCAGAGAGGAAGGGAGAGGGTGTGAGAGAGAAACATCAATGATGGGAGAGAATCATTGATCAGCTGCCTCCTGCACACCCCCTACTGGGGATTAAACCCGCAACCCGGGCATGTGCCCTTGACCAGAATCGAACCCGTGACCTTTCAGTCCACAGGCTGACGCTCTATTCACTGAGCCAAACCAGCTAGGGCCAGCCTCTTTTCTAAAATAAAAAACAAATTGCCTGGCTCAATGGTTGAGTGTTGACCTATGAACCAAGAGGTCATAGTTCGATTCCCGGTTAGTGCACATGCCCAGGTTTCGGGCTTGATCCCCAGTGGGGGCATGTAGAAGGCAGCCAATCGATTATTCTCTCTCATCATTGATGTTTCTCTCTCTCTTTCCCTCTCCCTTCCTCTCTGAAATCAATAAAAATATATTAAAAACAAAATAAGATTTAAAAATGTTTTTTAAAATAAAGGTCTAATAACTTTTTAACCATGTACTCAAGAAAGGCAGAGAAAGATACAAACGAAAGTTATGGTGTCTGTCACTCATTTACAGACTTTTTTTTTTAGAGTGTCACAGTTGTGAATCCTATTTCAGGAATGTCCCTCTGTGCAGGGCTTCCTTTGGGGGCTTCACCTTCTAGGTGATGTTCCAAGAGCTCTTGGTAGCTTGACCCTCATGCCTTCTAAAAAATAGTATGTAAGAGAGTGCATCAAAGTTTTAAACAGGCATATAGCCTTTGATATAGAAATTTCATTTCTAGGAATCTATTCTAATGAAATAATCAGATAAATGACAAGTGGACCAAGTTTTATAGCAATGCTATTTATAAGATGGGCAACTGGAAATGACTATTCATCCATATATTAGAAAGTATGATATGTATGGTCATCATATATTAAACTTTGTAACGGGAAATTATATATATTTCTGCTTAAAGATGGTGGAGTGAATGGAATTTTACACCATCCTCTTTCTCAAAAGTCATTGTTGACAACAACAAAAAATTATAAAAAGAAAGAGAAAAGAGTTTTAGCTTCCAAGGAGATTGTTACAACCTCTAACTGGAAAGCATACTCGCTAAGGACTGTGACATCAGGATTTGGTGAAGGAGGTGGGAGCTGAGACCTGACTTGCTTTCTCAGAGCTAGAGACTTTATCTTAAACATGTGAGTTATGAAAGGCTTATCCAACAATCTGTTGATTAAATTGACACACTCTCCATCTGCAGTGGCTTCAGGAGAATAGAGAATGTCCCCGTAGTTCTCAGGTTAGTAAAACTGCAGAGGAGATGGAGCTAAAGGCGAAACCAGGCAAGATACACCAGAGCAGACCGCTGGAGGTACAGCATGGTGAAGGGAAG